TGGGCACGTCTCTGTGCCTGGGCCAGCAGGATGATCTCACCTGGGCACGTCTCTGTGCCTGGGCCAGCAGGATGATCTCACCTGGGCACGTCTCTTTGCCTGGGCCAGCAGGATGATCTCACCTGAGCACGTCTCTGCGCCTGGGCCAGCAGGATGGTGTCTCGGTCAATGAGGCGCTGCAGGCCCACGAGCTTCTCTCTATTCTGCCTCAGGAGTTCCTCCTTCTCGGCAGCGCCGCGTTGCATGCTTCTTAGCTGGCATTCCTGCAACACGTAAATGTAAGTTATTCACGGATGAAGCGCCAACAACTATCACAACTGACCTTTCCTTGAAATTTTGCTGTTGCTTTTTTGCTGGCAACGGATTCGTTGCCATTACCTTTTCCTTGATGGTTTCCCGCAGTTCCCTCTGGCGCCGCTTGTTCGCCTCTTTGGCGTGCAGGGCGAGCGGGGCAGTGCTGTGGTCAGCCAGCCAGAGCTGCTGTGCTGTAGCCGCGATGCCTGCCGCCTCACAGCTCGCGTTGCGGCGTCTGCTGGGGGTGGCGTTCACCGCGGCCACGACGTCCTCTCCTTCATCTGGAGAATATAGAGAAAATATGAAATTCGCCTAAATAATAATATATTATTTACTTATTAATTCAAATGCATACGTACGGTAGTTATTGAGTGAGTTCGAACTTGCATCACTACGCCAGTCGTAGGATCAAGAAATTTAACCTAGGATAGAGAGCAGAAGCACATGTAAGAATAAGAAGCTTTAGCAAGTATCAGCACTTTTTAGCGCCAAAAAATAATTGAAAAGTACTATTGAGCATTACACACAGAAAACAATGAATGAAACAAAGTAATTAAAGCAAATTCGCGTAGAAAAGATCGACTCATTTCCCACCTGAGGAGCTTGAGTCAGATTCACAGCTGTCCATATCCATGTCACTGTCTTCGGATTGCAAATCTTGGTCTTCCTCGGCGCTGCTGCCGTCAAGAAGATCTTCATGAAGGTCCTGATAAGTGCTGGCAGTTGGATGGACTTCATGCATGACATTTGATTCCCCAGGCGAGTAGTTGTGCAAGGCAGCGTCACTAGGAGCAGGGACAACATTTGCTTCATTATCGGAGAGCGAACGCTCGGTGTCCATCTTTTCTATGGAAACGGCGCCTACATTAACAGCACCTTCCTCTTCCTCGCTGCTGGCGTCGGGCGAAGTCATCATTTCGCTGAAAACGTCCAGTCTAAGGAAAAAACAAAAAATATTTATGAATCTGTATAGTTTTTTCATCTATGGCTGTTTATAAACTAATGAATCATACATTTCAAAACAGGGTTGGTGATTTTTTTTATTTTTTTCAGCTTTTTAGTCTTTTTGAAGTGTTATTTTTTATGTTGCAATTAGCCTACTAACAATAACAGTATATGGATCATAATGGATGGCTAAAAAGGGCACTTATTGCCTTCAATAATGGCTAACAGGCCAAGGTGGTGTTTACCACTTAGGGATTTTTGGGTAAACAATTATTGATAAGACTATTCATTAGCTTTGTAAAGTTTGTATGGAGCAAGGTAACAAGCTAAATATTGACCATTTAACTGACTTCAATATGCAAGAACACTTCAAGAATGCAGATCTTCTAAACATTGAAGAGTCACACAACAGATAGGTAGCTGATAGCACAGTGCACAGCACTATCAATAGATCTACTAGTTTTATGTCCTATAAATCTACCAGACTCTACCCCTGTCTCTTATACACATCTAGATGTGTATAAGAGACAGGCCAACAACTGATATATTTTCGTCACCAGAGCGTCAGCCAACAACTGGTATATTTTCGTCACCTGAGCGTCAGCCAACAACTGATATATTTTCGTCACCTGGGCGCGAGCCAACAACTGGTATATTTTCGTCACCAGAGCGTCAGCCAACAACTGATATATTTTCGTCACCAGAGCGTCAGCCAACAACTGATAGGTATATTTTCGTCACCTGAGCGTCAGCCAAGAGAGCTGCCACTTCGCTGGTAATATCGTTGACGCGGGGACGGTTGATGATGTAGCGCGCCAGGCCGCCGTACTTCATGGCGACCAGCGTGGCAGGTAAGTCCTCCTGCCGCGGCGACGCGCAGCACACTAACAGCGTCAGGCAGTTCCCGCCCAGACTCTCCTGATAATTTCGAAAGAGACTTTGAAAAATTAGCACATGAGTATAATCAATGCATCCAATATATGGAGCAAAAGTTGGTTTTCAAGTAAATTGTTTCGAACATCAAAAAATGTTTATAGCATATGGAATATAATTTAATTTCTATCAAAATTAATCAATGGAAATATTAAATCCTTGCACCCACATTGCAACCTACTATAAGAACACAACAAACCATTGGGTTTTCCTAGTGATTATTGAAGTCATATATTACCTGACACAATATACATAAAATATCTGAACATTTCACGTCACCTTGAGCAGCTGGGTGAGCATAGAGCGGGCATATGGGACTGGACCAACATGGTTCCGATTGACAAGACTCTTGATGACGTCAGCCAGACATTGATGATCAGCCGTCATGAGGCTGTAGTCCTTCCCGTCAGCACTCAGACTTGCCACGTCTTCATCGTCATTCAAAGCCTCGTTTGCATTGGAAAAAGAATTAAATTCCCCGCTAAAACGGCGCTTGAAAAACTCTGCGTCAGAGTGAGATCTAATAATAGGATTTTCTTTGGCAAGCAAATAGTCTTCTTTCTGCGATTGACTCATAACACAAATATTTTCCTTCGAATCGTCCATGTTGTTCATCACTTCAGCACTGCTTCCATGACTTTCTTCTGCTTCGAAAATCTGCCTAGAGTCAGCACTTTTCATAAGAGCAGTTACGCCTCCCAACACTTCAGTGTTGCTGTATAGGTTAGAATCAGTGCTTCCCACGGCGCTTGGGTCTCTACTGTGCAGGGTGACACTCTGGGGAGGATGAATGTAGTAGCCGTTATTGGAGCTGCCCGGCATTAAGCTCGAGGTCATGGATGGCTCTTCGTTTAGTGTCGTGCTCGAGGATTTGATCTCCTCTATGCCACCAAGATCAACGAAATTCAGCCGGGAACACACAATGAACGGTCGTCCATCTGGAAAATGCAGGATAGTTTAATTACAAAACACAAAAAACAAAATTACAAATGAAACGCTAACGAATAAATTCTTGATACCATATTGTAACAGTTTCCAACAACATTTCTAGCTAGTCTGGTTATATTGAGCAAATTCAAAATGTTTATTGTATGTAATTCCTACCATTAGCAACTTTGCGCTGCTGCAGCGTGATGGTGAAGCTAGCATGAGAATCACGGTGTGTTGATGCACCGCCACAGTCGTGTTTGTGGCGTCTTGATTCGACAGCCACATGTTTTACACTGAGGTTATCATTAACAAGGACATCGTTTATAATGCTTCCTCCAGCAGCGCTCTGGACTGTACTGGCGCCAGGTGACAGGTGATTATTTCGGGCCAGGAGTCCAGCCTCAAGACAGTTCAGCACTTCAGTGATGTTGCTGCAGTCTACACTGCTCAGCCCGGGCACCATTACACTGCCCTGTGAGTGGAACTTAATCAGTAGAGTTGCTTTATAGTTAGGTTATTCCGAGGTCAGATGATATGTTAGGTGGCATGATGGCATACCTGGCTTGTCCAGGGTGTTGTGTTATGCAAAAATGGTTCTGGCGGGTCAGCGAGCCAATGATGGTCGTGGAACTACCAGTGGCATTAAAGTGCCCGGAAAAACTGACCTATCACCCCTTCCCTTACCTAGTCGCCACTACCAGGATGGGCAATTACAACAACAACATGATGGCGTCTACTCTGAGGCCATATTTGAAGCTATCATAGCTTGGTAAATCAATCAACAAACCTCATGATTCCTTTTAGCCTCATTAATTGTTCATTATAACTTCACTCATGACATAATAAACAAATTTAATGATATTTATTGTTATCATTCTTTTGACATTCTTAATGCAAAAGCTTTTGCAATTCTTGACAATTGCAAAAGCAATTGACATTCTTTTGCAAAAGCTTGAGCTTTATTGAGCATGCAGTGTAGAAATATTTTTAATGTTTGCACGCTGCTGTAATGTAATAAGTAATCAGTCATAATGTAATAATAAGTAATAACAACCTTGTGGTCGGAGAGAACAGGCAGAGGAGTAAGATGAGACTGGCCCATGAGGAGATCATACACAGCTCCACCACAGAGCATGAGGTAGCTCACAGACACTCGCACCTCGGGCATGCCCCCTCCAGCATCTCTGTGCTCCTGGTGAAAAAAAAAACACCTTAACTATGAACGTGAACTCAAGTTTATATGAAGTAAAGTGTAGTGAAACTAATAATTTCAGATTCTGATATAAAACCAAGAAAATAATAGTAGATTTAAATAAGACATTAGATTTTCCAACAATGATTTATTAGTAAAAAGATTGTACTCTTACAGCAATATGGGTGTACAACTGACGCACAGCTCGAGGTAAGAGACCAAACTCTTCCTCATTCATGGCCCATAGGAAGCCAGGGCCAGTAATTGTGTAGGTCTTGCCAGACCTGCAGCTGCCATAACCAACCACACTGACGTTGTATCCTGAAATATTTATAAGTAGTGATTAGTCAATTAAAAAATAAATTACCTATCAAATGCCTAATGAATCAACAATAATATCTCTAAATTAAAAAAGTTATGGCTTGATTTAGCAGCTAAGCACAAAAAAGAGTTTTGTTAGAGAACACATACAGATTTTCAACTTTAAGTTTTTAGGCAAATTTACTTTCCAGTGAAGGAAATTCAATGTTTCTTATTAGCAAGTAAAAACATGGCCATCAATCTTAATTGTTTTACAAACTAGCAGGCTGCTGAATGAATTCATGAACATTTATTCACAGATGAAAGAAATTTTATGGATCATGATTAATTTAAAAGAAAAAAAAACTTGGAAAAGGTGAAAGTTTAGCTTTTCACATGTAACAAGACTTCTGTTTTTGACTCCATTAATAAGGTGAATAACAACTGCTTACATTACTTCACATGGTAAACATTGTTTGGACTGCATAATTTTAGAATAATGTGCTCATGCCTATTGTAGGTACAGTTGTACCCATGCAGTCCAACAAGGAGGAAAATAATTACCTTGCCAAAAGTGCTGTACTAAATCCTCCAGGCATGCCGCATACAGCTCTTTCTGCGACACATCGGCTCCAAACACCGCATCAAAATCACAGAAGTGGTCTTGCCCAAGGATGATTTGTGAGGCAGCTGGAGCTGCTTCAACAGCACTTGAATGGCCATTGTTTTTGCCATTGCAGATTTCTCCATCAACAAAGGGGCACACCTGAAAATAAAGAGATAAAATCAGCATTCAATTTCTGCAAAAATAGTCATCACTATAATGCTTCTTGTCTTTGCTCACAAAAACCCTTGCAGATAAAATAAAGCTTGTAAAAAATATGATAGATGGATTCAAATTGTACATTTATTTAACTATTACTTTTGAAATATAATTTATTAAATAAATGCATTTGTTTATATCCTTTGATTTAAATAGAACAAGTTAACAACAATTATAAAAGTAAAAAAATTGTACAATTTTTTATATATTAATCAGAAAACTTCTTGATTCTTTGTGAAACTAAAATAAGGAAAGACAACTTTTTGGCTAACTCTAGTCTCTGAATCTATTATGCAACAAAATATGGTGCAATTTATATTCTTCATTTTATTTGAACAAGAATTTTTAAAAAATTACAGATAGAAACACTTGTTCCTGGAGAGACTTTTGAAAATTGTAAGCTATAATATATCATTGCTTTTAATTTACTCTGGAAAAATCAAGGATGGGCCATAGGATGATAAGATTAGCCTGATTAGGTAAATAATGGCACCATTTACAGGCATTCTCTCTCATTCATGGGTGGATTCTGCTCAAATTTTCAGTTCAGGAAGCTACAACACGATAACCTAGTGTGGAATAAATCTATCTTCCAAGGATCCCAGCCGCAACTGGAGCTTTTTTGACAATTTTGGACCCTTGAGAATTGAGATTTTGTCTCCATGAATTATCTCCTATCTAATTGGCAATAAAAGTGTATAATTGGGCTGTGAGATTCCAATTGTAGGAAGTTGCAGCTTGCAGGATTTCCAATTATTTTAGATTTTAGTAGCAAGTAGGAAAATTCTATACTAGACAACAAGAACAAGTCAACAACAAAATCATCAGTAATTAAATTTATTTGTAATTTTTGTGATATTAATATTTCTAGCAGAAAAAAATTAGAAAACAATGCCAAAAGATTTCAGGTTTGATAAAAAGTGCAAAATGGCAAGCAACTAGTGACATATGATTTCACATTTAATAAAAATATTTAACACTGGTAAATTTTATTATTTTTATTTTTTATTTTTATTATTCGGTGGGTTGACGGAATGCTACGCTTTATACGATTCACTCCGTGAACTGCTCTTGTTCAAAATTATTGGCCAAAGCGATGTGTTGCGCTGATGAACTGCTCAACTGCTCGGCAGGTCTGAGGCCAGGCAAGTGAACTGGCAGTGTCTCCTCCCAATAGTGTGTACAGACTGAGGACCTGAACTCCAAAACGTTACGTTAATGCCGAGCGGTTCCATATGGAACCAAGCTATAATTTTTCACATACAACGAAAAATAAATATATGAACATATTTTTTGTTTATTACCATCACAAATGATAATATTCTCACAAGGAACCGAAAAAAAATTCAGTAAATAATTCTCGTCATTAATGGGTTAATACGAGAAAATAATGTGGACACAGCAGAATAAAAATATTTACAAAATTTCTTCAATTAGAGCAGCTTTACAAAATACAAATTTACAACGAGCATTTGCGATCGCGAAGTTGTGAGTGGCTGAACTAGTCTGATTCAACAGTCATTCATCTCTGCTGGTACCACTTTTGCAGTTCATCAAATAACGATGTATACAAGGAATAAGCGATCAAAAATTTAATACTATATAATCACCTAACATTAGAGGAACAAATTTTAATTTTTTTAATTTGTTTTCTTGTAGTATCTGCAGTTAATATAGAGAACGTAAACTCAAGACATGGACAGGGCACCTGTTCTGCGTTCACCACATGAGCGCCCTGTGTCAGTCTTCTCTTTCTTGGAGTCGTCGCAAGGCTGTCTGAGTTGCAGCTGCTGTTGTTGCTGCAGCAACTGCTGCTGGAAGAGAGGCTGGAAGTCATAGCCAAGACCTTGCTGCTGCCGCACGAGGGTTTTCAATTGCTGGCACTGCTGCTTGTAGTAGTAAAGGTTCATCTCGAGCTGACGTACGTCGCTTTCGCTGGCACGAAATTTATCTGAATCTGCATCCAAGGTGAAAGGTAGTGCAGTTTCTGATAAAAATAGAAAAAGTAGCTTTATTAATTAAAAACATGATTAAATGATTGCATATCCTTTCAAGCAATTATTGGTCATATATAAGGGAAATCTGAAAACTGAAAATAATGCATATATACTGTCTCAAATTTTCAGAATAAATACAAAATATAGTAAATTTTTGCTAATTCACAATACGTGAAATATTTTCAACGTGAAGGAACACCTAGTTATTATAAGTTTCAGCAACCATTCACGAAAATTCAGCAAAGATGTTAGTGGAAGAGTGTCAAGCAAGAGTGTCAAGGAAGAGTGTCAAGGAAGAGTGTCAAGGAAGAGTGTCAAACTTTAATGTTACCTCTCGCCAGCTGCATGGCAGTCTCCTGAGCATCGATATGCCTGAACAGTTTGTGAAGATAATGAAGGAAATGTCTCTGCTGCACAGCACAACGTCTCTCCATGTCAAGGCTGGCCTGCTCGTACGACCATTCCAGCTTCTGCAGTAACCTTGACTGGTCCTCGAACTGAAGCTGCAAACGAAAATATTAGTTACAGAAGACTTGAGATCTGAAGACCGATTGATTCAAATACAAGTTTCCAGAAACAAATCTATGTTTAGTCAACGCGATATTGAAAAAAGACAAAGATTAGAAAAAAGCACAGAACTTCTAATGAGGTAACAATGGCTTCGAAAGGAAAGCCAGAATGGGTAGGCAGTTGGTTTTGAACTTGTTCTTAGAGTAACAGTTTTTCCACGATCTAAATAAATAGTTGATCAATGCATTATATGAGCCACATACAAACCTCTAATTCAGTGTAGGCGATCTCTTGTTTTCGGAACTCAATTCTGATATCAATTACACGACTGAAGTATTTGACCATCAGCGCCCGAATCTCATCCAGGCTTAAATTCAGAAGTCGATCCAGCAGCTTACCCTAGAGAATCAAAGCAATTAAATGTTATCCAGTCCAACGAAATTCTCAGGGCCTGTATTAAGCATTTCTAACACATCATCTGTCGCCACGGTAATACAGCAAATCAAAGTATAATCCAGGGGAAAAATCGTAGTGTGTTTTCAAGGATTATATAATGCCCCAACCCAAATAATCTTTGAAAAAAATATAACTCAGTAGTACTCACTGCAGTGAGTGACAGAGAGCGCATTTTCTCGTCGACGAAAACGTGAAGTCACGGACGGACAGATGGACATGGCGAGGGCAATAGCGCATTTTTTCCATAAATGAGAAAATGCGCTAAAAAACACTGTTACCTAAGGTAGTCGATTTTGATAGCATAACTGATTAACGCTACACCAGTAATCCTAATTACATAAAAACTAGTCGCGCACTCCACCTGCAACAAGAGCGTTGAGGACGTGGCGTGGAGGAGGGTGGCTGAGCCACAGATGAGTTCATTTTTTTGTTCGATGGACGAGTCGACGGCCTCGACCGCCTCATCCACCTCCATGAACCGCCTCTCTGCCTCCCAACGGCGGCTCTCCCGTACACCCTGCACCCAAACAAACAAATCTCTCAGTTAATTTGGTAAGAAAATTATTGACGATAACTAAACCACATTATCTTGATATAACAGCTTTCCTTTCTCTTATAGAAGGTGAAGAATCAACCGGTACATGTAACATATTGGAATAAAATATTTATTAGTACATTGGGATTTATTGTTGTAATATGACAGCTGTGTAGAGAACACAATGGAAACCTTTTTGCAGCTACACGGCCAAGCAATACAGAGCAACCGGGTGGAACTGTTGTCTGTGATTTATTTGAATGGAAAAGTATGCGGCTAAGACCCTATTTAATTATAATACAAAGTTTACTGCGTAAAACAATCGTATTCGATGTGAACCTTTTGTATTTTTTTGCTGAGACGCTGTCGGTAAGCAATAAGGGCGTTTCTAGCGTCTCTGAGGGCAGCGACCTCCTGACGCAGCACTGCTGCTTGTCTGGCAGTTGCAACTTCACTTCCTCCTTCCTGAGATGAGGTTACCTTCAACAGAGAATAACATCAAAATAAAATTAAACGCTTTCGAGAGAATGGTATTGAGCTATCAAATGCAGTAGCACTCGGAAGAAATACACTTCCAAGTCTATAGCTTTCTAATTGTTACAAAATCAAGAACATTCGATGAAATGACGACTATTTTCCAGTGATTATATTCGGAATGTATGTAAAATCAATTTTGTATTGAATTGATACCCTATAATCATCAATGCCTGTTCTGCACTGACCTGCTCGGAAGAGCTTGTGACAAGCCTTCTTTTATGAGGCTGTGACAGACCCTGCAGAGACACCACAGCTTTGGTTGAGCTCTTGCCCGTTCGCCTCGCAACTGCTGTAGGATGACTAGCGACGGGCGTTGCTGGTTTTTCTGCAGACGAGGTATTTGGTCCCCTTGTACCAAAGACGCCATGGCCATTCATACCACCTGATGCTTTCAAATCACTCACAAGTGGAGTACTGGCTTTATTTTGGTCTGAAGTATTTACGTTACCGGTCATTACACCCGAGTTGGTATGGGTAGGGGATCTAACACCAATCCTATCACCAGTATCAATATTTGTGTGTAAATGGTTAACTGCGCTGGCACTGTTACAATTATCATTGACATCACTACTAGGACCATTGGCAAAACCAACATCTTCAGCAGCGCGAGAAACAGCCAAGTTTTCGTCTCTGGACTTATTTCCATCGGTGCGAGAATCGTAGCCTCCTAATGCCCTAAAATTGGCGATGTCGGCAGCGGGAGAAGGAGGAAGCTCGACCAAAACTGTCTCCCCGTCAGCGTCATCCCCAGCAGCGTGCGGATCAGTCTGGGCACGAGAAGCATTATAATGAAACAGACTTATTTTCCGGCGTAGACTTGAACAAAACTTTTTGGAATGACAATAATTTATTGAATCTGGATATAATTTTTTTTGAAAGATTAACATCAATGATTATAATAGGAAATTAATTTCAAATCATAGGCATGTAAGAATTGTAGCCGACTCACTCATCAATTATTTCACGTTTCAACTTTTCAAGAAATGTATATCATAATATTTGTAGACTTTAAGAAGAGAAATAGAAGGCCGAAGAAAAAATAAGTATATAAATTGAAGAGTTATTCAAGGAACTGACATGCGCTTTCCTGACGCGGTTCCTGGCGAGGTGCTGCAGTTGCTGCTGACGCTGCTCGCCCGTCCTGACGATGGTGTGCAGCTCTTCCAGCTCACTGCGCAGCTCCTGCACTCGCGCTGACACCTTCGCCACCTCCTCCACGCTGCCCATCGTATCAATAAGCCGTTAAACGGACGTAAATAACACTTGATATCCAATACAACTGATGGGCTTAACGGAATGAAAAAATATCAAATGTCTTAGATTAAAATAATTTCCAAATTAGGAATTTTTACACTGTGAGCAATGTGAACAAATTATATTATCATAAGACAAGCGACGGATCAGATTATTAGCAAAATATTTAATCTCATAAATTTATTTGAGACGCAAATGATAATTCAGTTAGTTAGTTCAGTGGCCGTAGTTGCTAGCGCTTCAGGTCGAGAAATGATAATTGAGAAGTAATTATGTGATATGAACAAATTTCAGTACTCCAACAATTTTCAGTATTTTCTGGTTCTTTCTTGCAGTTAATTTTATTTCGGCGCTTTGTTGACAGTAGGAATGATTTTTCTGAGAAAGTCAAATTTTATCAAATTGAAATTCTTCAAAATGTCGGTTCCAATTTTACATAATAATTTTTAGCATAGCCGAGAACAAACCAAATAGTGAGAGTAGAAGTAGTGTCAGTAAGATGGAGTAAGTAAAAGTAGTGGCAGTGAGTGTGTATGACTTTTTTTATTGTGATAGTGACAGTAGAGGTGTTGGCAGTATAGGAAGTAATATACAGCGAAGCGGTGTTGCTACTAACGGAGTTTTGGTGGCTTCGATGATGCTGTTGAAGTAGTTGATTGCCTTGACGCGGAGCTCATACTGCTGCAGCGCCTGCTGCAGTTGCTGCACTGCAGCCGTCGCCGTCGAACTGTTTCTGCAACTCTGCACAAAAAACATTTGAAATTATCTCAAAATTAATTCATTAGAAAAGCCAAGAAAAATATTCGTTTGTTTGTTCATGGTTGCCTGCTTTCTGAGTAGTTATTGATTTAGACATAGAGGAGCGGGTTCTTGAGAGATGCTAATATAAAAAAAAATATGATTACATCAATGAGTGATTATGCTGGCAACTATTAAAAGCTCAACACTAAAATATTTACTGAAGAACTTTGAACTGCAGAGCTCGTTCATGAATTGATCTCACCTGGGCACGTCTCTGTGCCTGGGCCAGCAGGATGCTCTCACCTGGGCGCGTCTCTGCGCCTGGGCCAGCAGGATGATCTCACCTGGGCACGTCTCTGCGCCTGGGCCAGCAGGATGACACAGTGCACAGCACTATCAATAGATCTACTAGTTTTATGTCCTATAAATCTACCAGACTCTACCTTCTATACACACTGACTGGTAGTGACTGAGTGACTGACTGCACTGTTCCCATTTAATTCAGACCAATAAACAAATACTTATTAACATAAACTGAACGATAACCAAACAAACCACATACGTACGACTTGAAACGAGACTTAAGTTATGAGAAAAGCTAACACTGTTTGAAATAAACATGTGCACAATTTAAATATTTTATATCTATTCACTGCATTAAATTATTTTATATATAGTCTTATAATTGTAACTGTTTTGTTTCTACTTTTCAATTCACATATTTAAGGATTTAAATTAAATATTTTAATTAGAAAACTCGTATTAGGGTGGAAAATCTTTCTAATTGCCTATAAGGTTAGGTTAGGATACATTAGCAACCTCTCAATATACAGGGTGGGGCAGAACTGATTGAGCAGTTTTGAGGTAAAATAAAAGAGTAATGGAGGTACATAAAGAAGAAAGTTTATTTTCCTAGAGGCTAGCATAACATAGGTACCATTTAGAATACTTATGTTTTGTAAACAATATCTGGAAGATGGTGGCCGTTAGCTGCAACACACTGTTGGAGTCGTTCTCAGAGGATGGAGTAACCGTAACAGTGAATTCCAATCGCTATGCTGCAATGCTGCAAAATTTCTTGCAGCCCATGATGGAAAACATTGTTGAAAATGAAGCATTGGGAAATGTGTGGTTCCAGCAGGATGGGGCTACAGCTCACACAGCCCGAATGTCACTCAATGTTTTGAATTGCATGTTTCCCGTAGGTCTGGTGTCTCTGAGGGGTGATTAACAGTGGCCTGCGAGATCACCTGATTTGAGCATTTGGGATTTTTTTCTTTGGGGACATCTAAAAGAAAGGGGTTCAGAAGTCCCCCTCACACCCTACCACAGCTAAGGGAACGGATTATTGCAGCAGAGGTTATGGCCATACCTCGCCATATGTGTGAACGTGCTGCAGGAAACTTCCAAGAATGACTCCAATCTCCAACAGTGTGATGCAGCTAACAAACACCATCTTCCTGATATTGTTTTCAAAATATAAGCATTTTAAATGGTATGTTATGCTTATCTCGAGGAAAATAAACTTTCTTCTTTATGAACCTCCATTACTCTTTTATTTCGCCCCAAAACTGTTCAATCAGTTCTGCCCCACCCTGTATAAGCTAGCTAACACATTTAAATTGTATATTGTAATCAATATATAACAAATAATCAAATAGTTAAAGACTACTTATAGCCTGTCTCTTATACACATCTAGATGTGTATAAGAGACAGTCTCAGCTGACTGTACGGCTCTGCCTCACAGAGCTGCGGCAGTGTCTTGTGAGGCGCAGTCTCCTCTGATACCGCAGCTGACTGTACGACTCTGACTCACAATGCGTCATTCAGGCTTCCCAGTGACTGTAGAACAAGGACTGATAAAACAATAATTGAGAAAAGACACGATGCGAATTTCGTCGTCATTTAAATAGATATAATTTTGCAGTGGTGCAGAGATTACTACCAACAGTGAATATCAATCAATCAATCAATCACTTTACAGTGAAAGTAACGTTCGTGAGGTTGATAGTGAAGTAATTATGCCATTGGTGGATACAAGGAAATGTTGTGATGAACTTATACGTATATCAGCCGCAGGAAACCAACGTTGGAAAGATAATATGATTAGTTTCTTTAATCTCTCTTGCTTGTATGTACACGGACAACTTGAGAGGGATAATTTACACGCATCTATCAAATTTTTAATTTTGTATTTTTTCGTTTAAAAAGACATTCCAAGTATTTTACAACCCAAGTAAGAAGTCTTTGTAGTTCTAAAATATAACAAAAATTTATGTACTAATAGTTCATTTTGTACTGTAATTTTTAAATTTTTTAAATCGTTGTTTTTAGTCTGCCAGAAATCTATATTTCAGTATTGTGAAAAAATCTTACATGTGAAAGATTCTACGTGGAGATTCTCTACGAACAAATCCACGATATGCAAAGGTTTTCCTTCAATTTCGTGTACAATTTTAGAAAATCAAGTTTTCCGTCAATGTTCCTGTGTAGCATCTTTGTAGGTTTGTGAACTCTTGTATTGGCATAATATCGATCAAGAATCACGACTACCTTGTAGCTTTGAAGTGCGACGCCAGAAGCGCTTCCTCGACAGCGTCGAGATTCTGATAGCATTGACGGGGCCTCCGCGCCTCGGCTTCAAATTCGCGTCTCGTCCGTTTTTATGCGTCCATAAAATATCGGTTGTATTTTTTGACGTGTTGTGCGAAATGCATTTGAGGGTGCAATTCAATTGAAAAAATACATCTGACACAAAATCCGCAAAAAATTTTTCATAAGAAGAATAGTAGTTTGTGAATTAATATGACGTTCTAAGGAAGTTTTGTGCCGAATTTATTTCCATCTCACAAAATATCACGATTTTTTTAAATTGTGTGAAAATAACTGAAGTCACATTCAGGTTTTCTCATATCTTTTCATGAGTAAATAATAATCTTCTTACCTGTGTATTTACCGATGTCGATTCTACAGAATTCCAAATTTCTTTAATGTGCCGGAACGACAAGAGGGAATGAAATATAATTTTCTTTATATTTATATATAAAGCCTAACAATACGAGTGCTCGTAAAATTGATCGAATAAGCTGATCCTATTACTAGGAATGTTTCGTTGGTTTAATGCAGTTACTCGTGGCGTCGTTTTCTATTGTTCATTTTCGGCCTCGTTCACGCGGCCAACAAACAGTGACTTATTCCTGGAAAGAGCAGCGCACGAAACTGAGGGTTTTTTTTTTATTTGTGAATAAATACCTCGGGTGAATACACGATCCCCATGATTGCATAAAGCTTGTCATCTTTTTTTTTTATCAACGACCCATTCATTCGATATCTTGAAACTTGAATAAAGTCTTGCAATTTCGATTTTTAACATAAATAAATCTTGAAATTATCTCTGTTTTCATTTCTTTATTATTCTCTGAAAAAGGATTTTAAGTAGAATAAATTTCTTTAGCCAGGGATTTGATCAGAAATATTAAAATAGAAACTAATTCCACAGAAAAAATTACTTAATAGTATAAAACTCTTAATTGAATGAGGATGATTCTGTATAGCGCAGAGAGGATTGAAGGTAAAATTGATTTAGTAATTAAACGTGGAATAGATTATTGTGTCTGAAATGTGGTCAGCTAACGTGAACGATGAGCAATCAGAACAGCTGTTGTGAAAATTGAAATTTTATTTTGTTTGGGTAATTTTAGGTACTATTGTATTTCAAAGCTTACAATTAAGGCTACTTCATGACCTAATGACAGGTTAAAAAAAAAGCTAAATATTCTACATTGCATCTAAGTATGCGTGAACATTTCAGATAAGAACTGAACCGATCGCGGACAGAATTTAATGATATGTAATAAGTATTCCCTATACTGAAAAATATCGTAAATTCTCGACAATTTCATTAATGTTGGGCCCGTAACATAGCTTCTGAGATTTTATGTAAATAAGTGAACAACGAATAACTGGGCACAAAGAAGTAGGTTGCGGTTCTTTGGCCAGCGTCAGAGAATGTTTGAGTCTCCGTGATAACAGTCTCACGTTCACGTTATCGTAAAATATCTTAGTCCAGAGAATGATACCGCAAAAACCGTAAGGTATTGTCGCAAAGGCTAATTACAGCAGTTGAAATGTTTTGGATAAATTAATCATCGCACTAGAGGAACTCATCAAAAACCTATGCGTTCAGTGTAAGGCTGCGATGCCTGGAACCCTGAACAATGGAAGCTTGGTTCAGCATTGTTACCGTGCGTGGACAACCGTGAATTTTACACTATTGATTTACTGTGACGTCACTTGAGTGAGGGGAGAAAGAGAGGAAGTGAAGCAGGGAGGGAGAGAGGGGAGGGAGCACAAAGAGAGCTGAGTGCTGCAAGGTTTGGGCCGCTGAACCTATAGCCTCCGCGTGCCGGAACCCAAAGATGCGTCGAATTCCTGGAATAAAACGATGGCGTGCAAATTAGTGAGGAAAGGATATAATTATTGTAGGATCATCATTTCGATGAATGTTTTTTATTTTATAATACTCAAAACATAAGAATAATCAATAGTAACTTTTCGTGAATATTATATGATGTACCTCCAATAGTATATCTTTATGATACTGTTTTGCATTAAAAAATTTTTGTACCGCTAAAAGGAGCGTGTATCCTGCACAGAAGCATTGACACGGACGGGAAGTGAAGCCCATAGAAACCGGAACTTAGGCTAGCGGACCCCGATCTTCTTACCCAAAGAAGAAAGCTTCCAGGTTGTCCTGGTGCATCAAATATTATTTCGTAATGATGCCCTCCTTCATAGAAACAAACTGATCTGCTGTGTCTGTGGCAGTCTTGCTTGACAAAATAAACTGACATCAAATGTTTCCTATTGGCTATTTTGTTGTTTTAATTTGAGAGTCAACTCTAGTGTACATTAAGAGTCAACTCTAGTGTACATTGTTCAAGTTTTGCAAGTAAATGCCATAGAAGTAAATTCCGAAATAATACGTTTTTCCTAAGCTTGTCATCTATTACATATATTTCTTAGCGGACAAAGTTATTAGATTATTATTTCAGACCGTTTTTAGTGTTGCGATTTCATTCTTTAAATGAAATTGCATTAGGTTACCATTCGAAGTACAAGCCTTTGAATGCCTTATTAATGGATTCTATTGTGAAAGAAGTACGTTCAAAGCGAAATGTCACTTAACTTGGAATACTTGACAGGCTAAAATATGATGAATCTTTTAATAAGTTTTTTCTTCTTTACAACGTGTCCTTTAATTCTTTATTCATTACAGAATTTTACCGATGGATCTCAGTTGAATGTTGTGAAAAGAGTGATTAATAGTTAGCGACAATGCCTCGAGGCTCTTCAAACGGTTTTAACTTATAATCAGAATTACTGAAATATAGCCTAGGCTTTCAGCAGTGCACGAAAAGATCATAAATTGGCCGCGTGTGAATGAATGAAAGAAGTTTGGCTAGACCTATTGAATTTATTCCGGCGGATTCTCGACTTCCGAAACTTGATGACATGCAAGACGTTTTTAACAACAATTTTTAGAATGATGTATATACC